CCTCCACTCCCTTGATTTTATATTTATGAAGCTTTCCTGAAACTGTATTTCCCTACAAGTAATGATGCCGGTGGTTTACGTTTTTAAGTTTACACAAAGATGTTGTGCTGTCTGTGTGTAGATGTGTTTTGCTATGTCTTAGATCTTGAATGTACCCCAAAGACCCCTGGGTTGAAGATTTAGTCACCAGCCTGTGGCTCTATTGGGTTGTGGTGAAACCTTTAGGAGGCGGGACCTAATGGAAGAAAGTTAGGTCATTGGGGGTGTGTCCCTGAAGGGGATGTTGGGACTCTGACCCCTCCTCTCTCTCTCTTTGCTTCCTGGCTATCATGAAGTGAGAAGCTCTGCTCTACCCTGTGCTCCCCTCCATGATGTTCTGCCTTGCTATGGTCCTAAAACAATGGAACAAAGTGACCATGAACTGAAATCTCTGAAAATAGGAACAAAAACAAAGTTTTCCTCCTTTTAAGTTGATTTTCTCAGGTATTGTGTCATAGCTATGGAAAGCTGATGAACACTGTAATCTTTTGGGAGTTTACTTTTCACTCACAACCTCGTTGCTAAGATTCAGCATGTAGTTCATTGATTTTCTGAGATGGTGAATGAAAAGGACTTCCAAGAGCGAGTAAGGCTAATGCCCATCTTGGCTAAATCTGGTTTGAAGTCAATGTGGGGGTGGAGAAATTGTATTTTCTGGGTACGGGGCAAGCATGCACTATAGTGCTTATTTATTTTGCATGCTCTGTTGGCTTATCCCTGTCTATGGTATTTGGAAAAGCATTTGTTTTTCATTTTCAGTGACTGTAGATTGCTATAGATTAGATCTTGAATGTCCCCCCGAGGCCCAGGTGTTGAGGGCTTGGTTGCTTGCCTGTGGTGTTAAGGGTAAGTAGTGGAACCTTAGGAAGGGGGCTTGAGTGGAAGGAAGCTAGGTCATTGAGGGTGTGCACTCAAAGGGGATATGGAACCCTGGCCCATCTTTTTACTCTGCTTTCCAGATGCTGCAAGGCGAACAGACCTCCACTGTCATGTGCTCCTGTCATGATGCTCTGTGCTACCACAGGCTCAAAGTAAGAGGTCCAAGTGGCTACAGACTGAAACTGTAGCTTTGAGCCAAAACAAACCTCTCTTCCCTATAAGTTGTTTATTTCAGGTATTTCGTCACCGTGATGTGACGCCAACACACAGATACTTATAATAACTGGGTACTTATTTTAATGACCTTTTTGCTTGTAACTCCAGCATGGTTTTTAAAGAGTCCTTTGTGAGGGTCTCGACCACCACTCACACTCAGGCGGGAGAGCAGGGCTCCCATGCGATGCTCAGGGGGAATGTTCCCGCTCACGGGAACACAGTGGTGTGTAGTCAGGATGACTTGCAGAAAATCTGTGGACAAGAATGGAACCTATGATATCATCTAGTTTCTCCCCAGAGTTCTGGAAGGATAACTTCTGGCCTTCCCACACTGACAAGATTGACTTTTTCCCTTGACACCTTAAAGTTATTGCACCCCAAGGAGCCAGCTGTGTGTCTGGAAGAAGAACACATTCCTGCACTTCTCTTGCTTCATTGTTCCATTCCGATATGGTAGAAACTTCCAGAGCCAGGAAAATGTAGCACACACACACACACACACACACACACTCACACACTTGCAGTCTAGCTGCATTTGACTTGGATCACTGATGGTTGCTGTACCAGTCTCCCGCTGCCCTGATTGTCCCTCTGCAGTCTACCCTCAATGTAAGAGCCAGAAGGACCCTGAAAGAGACAAAATCTTGTCTCTCCTCTGCCCAAAACCCTCCAAAGGGTTCCCAGTTAGAGTAGAAGGTAAAGTATTTCTCTTGGCCACAGGCCTACAGGGCTGGGCTCTTGTTTTCTCAGATTCTCCGTTCCCCTCTGGCCTTCCTATTTCACAAGCCCACTGGGCTGGATGCCATCTCAGGGCCTTTGCACTGGCTGGAGTGCTCCTCCTGCAAGTCTCTGCATAGCTCACACCTTCTCCTGTCAGATATTTGCTGAAATAGTACAACATAAGCAATCTTACTTGATGAACTTTGGAAAAAAATGTAATATCTGCACCAAAATCTTCTCTATTTCTGTGCTTTCCCCCCCACCCTATTTAAATCTGACTTTTAAAAAAACATTTCTGTGCTCATTGTCTTTCTCCCCCCACCCCTCTGCTGCCCTCTGCCTGTCCCCACTCCTCTCTCTCCAAGAAGGCACACTTTTACGGTGTTTAATGCACGGTTGGCCTAGGATGTATCGGCTCAGTGGTAGAGCACTTGCCTAGCACATGTGAAGCCCTGGGTTCCATCCCTGGAACTGCAAAAACAAAACAAAAAGCAGAAAAACTTCGGCTACATCCATGACACCCGTACACTGGGCACAGGGAGGGGTTTAATTCATATTTATTAATGACTGTATGAATAAGTGAAGTTTTCTCTTTGCCCCAATTTCACCTTGCTCTCCATGGAGGGGCCTCTTCCCTCCCTTTGACTGATCACATATTTGACTTGATCCCTGGTCCCTTGAAGGTGTGACTGTCTGCCATATGTAATCTCTTACCTGAGCTAAATCTGTCCTGTGCTCTTCTTTATTATTGCATATCCATGAAGTGTTTTTGGACCTGGGACACGGGGTCCCCTGGATTAAGCATCGTGTCGTTTGCTGCAGCTCTGCCCCTCCCTGCTTTACACACATGTACCCTCTGAGCGCTCGAGGAGCCTTCTCAGAGAGCCCAGTCAGCTAAAGCAGTGGAGGCTAGCAATGATAAGCTGTCTGCCGTGTTGCAGTGATTTCCTTGGGAGACCATAGTGTGGTATGGTGGCTTCCCAAGTGCAGTACCTGTGCTCCGTGGAGGAGGTTCCAGTGGGTACAAGAAGATTTTAGTTACATGCATACATTTCTGGTTTTGTGTTTCCTTTATGTGATTTAATAAGCAATCAAACCCAAGGTTTTGTTGTTTTAGTGCTTGGGTATGTTAGGTAGTAGCTAACAATGGGCAGTGAAATGCACAGTAATGTCACAAAATGTCCTTTAAATTTCTTTAGGGTCTTCTTTAAACTACTTTCAAAGTGGATAAGAAAGCAAAGGGTGGTAGTTAATTTGTAGCAAATAAACAGAAGCAAAGGAGCTAGTGGGAAAATATGTCAAAAGAAAAGGATTAATGGGACTAACTCTTGACAGGGTCCATTGATGTTGATGTGAAGCTAGAAATTATGGCTGTGAGTGTCTCCATTTGTCTGGGAAGGGAGATTCCTTTAGTAGCCCGGGGGCACTAAGGTAACTTCTGATCAGTTACTGACTCCAGTGTCCACATTATCATGGGATTGACTTGTAGATGAAGTCCCCCTAAATAGGAAGGCCACCATGACAGTTCTGGAGAGGACAAACTAAGTTCAAAGACCCCACCTCCTGACGTGAAGGAGGAGTTGAACACCTGATCGGCAAAGAGCGCAGCAGGTGGCCCCAGGTCTCCTGGTAAACATCGAACAGTAATAAACTTGGAGACAGCGTTGTCTCCTTGTCATTCTCTGCTCAGAGACGGCTCACTCTCTCTCCCGAGAGTGCTCTCTGCTTGAGCCTCACTCTGCTCTTACTTTACTTTCACCTCACTTTCTCTTTACGTTCACTTATAATAAAGGTCTCTTGCATGACTTTTGGTGTCTGACTTCCAATTTTCTTGCGCTGGAACACAAGAGCCAGGGTAGAGTTTCAACTCCCTGCTCTCCTGTGACAGGAATACTTTCCTTTGAAGAGAAAGTTTAGAACATGTAACGTCAGTTTAAAGAAAACCACACGTAAGTAACAGTATACATGTTGTGAGCTGAAGTGTGTCCCCCAAATTCAGGTGCTGGTGTCCCCCAAATTCAGATGCTGAAGTCTTGGTCTCTGGTCCCTCAGAAGGTGACTGTTTTTGGTGATAGGGTCTTTAAACAGACAGTGAAGTTAAAACTGGGTCATTATGGGGGGCGCTAGTCCTATGTGGTTGATGTCTTTATAAGAAGAAATGATTAGGCCCTAGATACGTACAGAGGGAAGACGGAAGGACCAAGGGAGGATGGAACCCAGGGGATAGGCCTCAAGAAATAACCCTGACGACAAGTTGATGTTGGATTTTAGGCCCTAGGACTGTGCAGCAATGAACCTGCTGTTGAAGCCACAGTGTCTCGGCATTTGTTACATCAGCCCTTCAATTGCAAACAGCATACAGCGTCTGATGAGCAGCTGTGGGGATGGCTGAGAAGCTGTACCAAGCTCCTGAGTTTGGGGAAAACAGCACTGGGCAGACAGGGGCTTTGAGGGAACCCCAGCTTTTCCAGTCCCTAACTGCATAGCCTCCAGCAAAATCTGCCTTTCTGAATCGCAGGGTCTTGTTTTCGAGAATGAGGCTGGTGGTAGCCCTCTTGCCAGGAAGCTGTAAGGCTTGAAGGTGAGGTAACGTGTGTAAAGCTCTTGGTGCTCAATACATGGGGGGGTCTCATTGTGGGAAAGCTGGCTCCAAGGGGGCTAAAGGGACATGTCCTTTAACTGCAGCACTCAGGAAGCAAAGCCCGGCCTCCTTGCCCCATAGTCCAGGTCACAGAGCCAGGCGGGTCAGTGAACCAAGTGCTTCACTGTGGTTTTAATCTTCCAGGAACAGGCAGGCGGACACGCTTTCCCTTTTGTGTTTAGGGAGGTGGAGACACAAGTCGAAGCAATGACTTGTGCTAGGCCACCCACAATGACAGGCCCAGAGTCAGAGAGAGCCTGCAGCCCGTGGCCTAGCCCTGGCAGCCAAACTCTCTCCCTGTGTCCTCCTGCTCCAGAGAAGCAGTAGTTAGAAGCAGGCTCCTCCTCTTCCTCCGCCCTCCCAGCCTGCTGGCTCCCAGGGAAGGGGAGGAGTTCTTGCTGGCTCTGATGCCACCGTCACCACGGCAACGCGGCCATACTGGGCCCAACGGACTAAGGGGCCTGGGGCTGCGGCCTATCGTGGCCTGGTGGGCAGAGCTGGCAGCATGGACACCCTCTTCGTGGAGGAGGTGGCCGCCTCCCTGGTCAGGGAGTTCCTCAACAGAAAGGTAACACCTCGCCCTCTCCAGAGCCCACGTGGTGGCTCCAGTCCTGGAGGGCAGCCAGTGGGGGGAGGCCTAGTACCCCTGGGGAGGGAGCGTTCCTGGCCTGCTGTCTGCTTCAGGGATGCCCCCAGGAGAGCGCCATTTTCCCAGGATGGGGGAAACTACATTTCCCAGGAGCCATTTCTGTGGTGGTCACCTGGCTTCAGCCAAGCAGGGCTGGGTCCCCCTGTCCTCTGCCCTCCCCTGGCATCCACTCTCAGTGGGTGGGCAGCAGCTGGGTGGGGAGGGGGGGTAGTTCCAGGGCTGAGCCAGCTCCTCGTGCAAAGATGGGGAAGCGGACCAGAGCCTGGCTGCCTGTCTCCATAGCCAGTCACCCCCAGGTCGTGTCCCCCTAGGTAGGGGCTTTCCACAGAGGAGCCCCAAGGATCGAGGAAAGTTCTGGACAGTCAAACCTTTCAGCCATTTTAAGTCCACAGCAGGAATTCTGGCTGTGGCCTTCATTTTTTTTTTTTTTTTGTAGGGGGATTGTCTAAGTTCCCTCCTGTTTTGTCCCAGGAGAGTTTGCAAAGTGTTTACAAGTTGAGAAGGTCTTTAACGCTAATCCACCCTGACAGTGGAGACGGAGACTTGGGTGAGGAAGGCACATGCTGGTGTGTGTGTATTTATGTGCGTGTGTGTGTGTGTGTGTGTGTGGTGGTGGTGGTGTCAGAGGCATCCAGTAGTTGATTCTGCATGAAGTGACTGAGAGCTATATGCTGCTGGTTCTGTGCTTATGGGGCACTTGTCTGGAAAGGAAATACACACATACACACACAAACACACACACACACACACACACACACAATGTGTCAAATAGAGCAAAGAGAAAGGACTTTGAGATTAGATGGAAGAGGTTCAAGTACGTGCTACTAGTTTGCAGTGTGACCTGGGCACATTACTTGTGGCCTCAGTGTACTTATCTCTAAAATGGGAAAATTAAGACTCATGTTTCACAGACTCATGATGAGGGTTAACAATAACACACAGGCAGCTCCTAAGCATTATATCTGATGAGTAGATACAATGCACACATAGGAATTTAACTTCATACCTGCTTCCCCATCTTTGATACCCACCTGTTTTGAAAGTGACTTTGTGGGCTTTTTATAATTTGCTTTATTTTGAAAAAAAATTTAAATGCATTTAGCGTCATTGTATCTGCTTTGAGCTTCCATCACCAAATCCTGGCTGCCCCTTGGATTATCTGTGGCACAATTTAGGAGGCTGACCACAACCATCATTTAAGTTTGGACTAAGCGAAACCTCATAGAAGGCTTCCTCATGCCCTTCCTTTCCTGGGTACAAATGAAGCCCATAGTCCTTGCTGACAGCCAAGGGTGCCCTATAGCTGGACCTCAGGTTACCCTCCAACATCATTTCTTCCTTCCCCTCCAAGTTTTCCCCTGATCTACTCAGGGCCACCCCAAATTCCATTTCTTCCTGAGCGCTTCTCAGCTGACTCTAGCTGGACTGATCCTGGTCTGTGTTCTCTCTTTGCTCGTGTTATAGTCAATACATCTGCCTGAATCACTTCCTAAATGGGGCCACAGAGCTGATCCCCAAAAAGGATGGCACCTTGGGAATTGTCCAGTCCTCCCAGATTCCTGATTTCCATGTTTTATCTGTACACACTGAGGTCCTGAGAGTCGTAAGGTGTTGGCCCCAGTCACTTAGAAAGTCACAAGAGCCAGCTGCAGCCCAGGGCTGTGCTTTTCTCAGCACTGTCTGCTCCAGGGCAGAGATCCTGAGCTCCTCACAGGGCTCTGAATAGGCAGGTACCCAACAGTCTTGACCAAAAGAATTCCCAGGGTGCTAGGCACCTTCTAGATGCCTGTTTGTTTTCTCAAATCTTTAAGGCAGTCCTGAAAGAGAGGGAATTACAGCATTCCTTTTCATGCAAGACTGTTGTGAGACCAAGAGGCCGAGACACTTGCCCTGGGTGAGTAGGTCAGACCACATCACTCCTCTTCTCAAACACTCCACCGGCTTCCCAGCCTCAGTAGGCTACATGGCTCCCCATGTTCTGGCTGCCCCCTTGGACCTCCTCTGCCATGGCCTCCACCACCTTCCAGCCATGTGGGCTTGCTTGAACTCGCCAAATATGGTCTTTCCTCAGGGAGACTCATCACAGTCTTCAGGTGACACGAGCATCCAGAGTTGACACTTGGGTCTGTGGCCCCGCTGTGGCAGAGATATGCCTCCCTCTGACCTCTGTTACCATTTCTCACAGTCACGCCCTAGGAGTGTCTTTACCAGCCCAGCATCCTTTCCATCATTTCAGTTCCAAGCATCCCACCTGTTCTATGTCCAGCTCTTCCCACTTCTCCAGCCTCTCCTGCATCTGATTCCATTGCTCTTAGCAACCTTTCATGGTCCCCCAGCCCTACCGCCGCTCCTCCCATACCTTACCCACCTGTCATTAAAATTGCCTGCTCTATGATAGGCTCAACCCCCTTGATCTTCTCTCCCTTTGTTGTACTCCCCTGGTCTGGGTAAAATTCAACTCGGTTTACTCCATGCCTGCACCTGCAGAGCTGAGTGGTACTGGAGAAACACACCTCCATGTTGATAGCATCACTCTAAATCTACAGCCACTCACCCCTGAGATTCCTCAGAGGTTCCAGTCCTTACAGGAACCTCTTTCTCTTACACCTTCTTTCCCTTCAAACCCATAGCTCCTTCCCCATTTAATTTCTCAGAAAACAGAAGCTGTCATGAGAAATGAGCTATGTCCTGCAGGCTCCCACCCCCACACTTCCTGACCTTCCTGAGCCACGCTCTCCATCCTGTTCCTGTGAAGAGATTCTCCAGGCCCTGGGCAAGAACATCCCTGCGAGGGAGCCTGCTCCCTGCCGCATCTCAAGGACACAGCCCTAGTGATTGCCACCGTGCTCTTCTCCACACACGTTCCTTCTCTGCTGAATATGCACACACTCCTGCAGGACCACACCTTGACCCCCAGTCCCCCCAGCTACTAGTCTTTTTCTTCTCCCTTTTATAATGGAACCTCTAAAAAAACTGTATGCTTTGATTCTAATCCTTCTCTCCACTTTCCCAGACTCATCTGAATCAAAAGTTTTTCTCCCACCAATTGATGGAGACCACTGTCAAGGTCATCATTGACCTCTAAACCCCTTGCCTTTTTTTTTTTTTTTGGTACCAGCATTTGAATCCAGGGATTCTTAACCACTGAGCCATATCCCCAGCCCTTTTTTATATTTTATTTAGGGACAGGGTCTCGCTGGGTTGCTGAGGCTGGCTTTGAACTTGTAATTCTCCTGCCTCAGCCTCCTGAGCCACTGGGATTACAGGTATGCACCACCACACTGGGCTCCTTGCCTTTCTTTCTTTATATTTTTTTAAATTAATTTTTAATTTTTCTGTGAGAGTGGAATGCATTATAATTCTTATTACACATATAGAGCACAACTTTTCATATCTCTAATTGTATTCAAAGTATATTCACACCAATTCGTGTCTTCATACATGTACTTTGGATAATGATGTCCATCACATTCCACCATCATTTCTAACCCCATGGCCCCTCCCTTCCCCTCCAATCCTTCTTCCCTATCTAGAATTTGTCTATTCCTCCCATGCTCCCTCTCCCTACCCTACTATGATTTATTTAGCCTCCTTATATCAAAGAAAATATTCAGCATTTGTTTTTTTTGGGATTGGTTAACTTCACTTAGCATTATCTTCTCTAACTCCATCCATTTACCTGCAACTGCCATGATTTTATTCTATTTTATTGCTGAGTAGTATTCCATTGTGTATATATGCCACATTTAAAAAAAATCTATTCATCTATTGAAGGGCATCTAGGTTGGTTCCACAGTTTAGCTACTGTGAATTGTGCTGCTATAAACATTGATGTGGCTGTGTCCCTGTAGTATGCTGTTTTTAAGTCCTTTCAGTATAGACAGAGGAGAGGGATAGCTGGGTCAATTGGTGGTTCCATTTCCAATTTTCCAAGAAATCTTTATACTGCTTTCCACCTTGCCTTTCTTGATCTAACAATTGTGCTCATCACAGTTGGTTGCAGCCTTCTTCTTGGCTTCTGAGAGACCACCTGTTCTTGGCTTCCTCCTCCTTCTCTGGTGGCTCCTTCTCAGGTCTTTGCTGGTCGCCCCTCCTTTCTCTGACCTGTGCAGTGCATGCTGGTGGCTCAAAGACTCAGTCTGTTGCCCTCTTCCCTTCCCTTTCTTTCTCTTCTTCATTCATTCTTGAGGCGTCTTATGCAGTCTTATGATTCCAATACCATCAATGTGTGCTGACAATTCCTAAATGCCTATGTTTAGCTGCTCTCTCCCTGAATCCTTTGAATTTTTTCCAACTTTGAGTGCTGCATTTCCACTTGGATGTCTAATTAGCATCTCCATTTGATATATACAGTGATGTTCCCACTCACAACATTCCCAATGCCAAATTGTGAGTTTTTCCCCCAACCAGGTCTTCAACTTTTCGGACACCAATTGAGTTTCCCACAATTCAGCTGCATTCTGACACTAGAGTTAGTGTAGACCCTGCAGTTAAAGACACTTATTTTCCTTGTGCCCCTCACATCCAGCCCATCAGCCCATCTGTTGGCTTTACTATCAAAGGGCATAGAGAATGCAGCCACTAATGATGCAAACACCCTGGACTAACCCTCTTCCACCTTTCATGGGAATGGTACTGTTCAGTAGCCTCCTAAATGGTTTCTGCTTAATCCCCTGCCTCTTATATTCTATTTTTAACCTAGCAGCCAACGTTCCTTTAAAAATGTTAGTCCCCTATGGTTCTGTTTTCAAATCCTCCTATATCCTATCAGAAGCATGGCGAAGATAATCTTTGCTTACCAGGCTCTGGGTGATCTCTCTGATCTCACCTTCTGAGACTTTCCCTGGCTGTGAGGTGCTAGATACATTGGCACTTGCAACTGTCACAGGGCCTTTGAAGCTGCTGTTCTTTGCCTGGAACACTCTTCTCCCAAGTGTCTACATGGCCTGCTCTCTTGTTTCCCTCCCATCTCTGCTCCGTTGTCACCTGATCAACGAACCCTTTCCTGATCACCTTTTATAAAATAGCAACCCTTCTCCATGCCACTCACTGCCTGGCCCTTTCTGTCTCACTACTCATATTATATTAGACTTGTCTTTTCCCCCTATAGAATGCAAGTTGTATGAGGGTGGGACTTTGATTTGTTCACCTCTCTGCCTCTAGCAGTTGGACTAGTAGACTAGGGGTTCCCTTCAATTCATAGATGGGGAAGTCAGGAGACAAGAGTGAGCTCAGGAATGATGCTCAATGAAACACTGTGCCTTGTCTTTGCATTCACCCTCCCTGTTCTATTTCCACAGTGGTGCGGTGAGCCGCTGCCCACGGTGTGCGTACCATTCATCAACGGTCTGCTTCCCACAGACTGTGAGCTCTCCCTCCTTCTGTACCTCCTGCATCTAGGACAGCCTGGCACACAGCAGGGCAAATGTTTGTTGAGTGAATGCAGATTCAGTGGCTGGATGGGACTGAAGGCTAGTTGACTCCTGAGAGCACCCTGGGACCCTACCCTAGTGGTTTTCAAATGTTGGTGTGTATCACAATGGGGGAGAGTAAGTGAACCTGGATTTGGTGATTGGAACTGTTGCTGAACATAAAGAGATATCCATCAGAGAGGAAGGCTCATATAGACCGTTCTTTATCACTTTATCAGTGAGGAAGCCATGGCGCAGGCCTGATGAGATGCAATGGTTGCTTTGAGGCCTGCCTCTTCTTCCAGTGGACACTCCCTCCTCACGCAGCCTGGCCACCTCTTCTCCACTGCACACATCCATATTTCTTTGGCCCTTCCTAGGTGCTCCTTTTTAATCTTTGGTTCAAGGTCATGTGTGTACCTTGGTTCAAGGTCATGTGTGTACAAGGTCATGTGTCATTTCCAAAATTGACCATCTTACCTAAATGCATGGCAAGCAGGGGGTTGGTCTTTTATGTGCTTTCCCAGCAGGTAGAGCACCAAAAAATTCTGAACACAAAGGCTGGGGGGAAGTCGCGGCTTGTCTAGCGCTGGGGGGGGGGGGGGGGTCCGGGATCCATCAAGAGCAAGAGATGCTCTTGAACCAGGCTGAGCCCTTTGTGAGGATGTCCTCATCCTGCAGCCATTCAGAGGTCATGGTGGCTGGTGAAGAGGCAGGCAGCGGCTGCAAAGGAAGAACCCAGGCTCCTGCTGGGGACAGGGCTTCCCTGACTTATCATTGCCAGAACCTAGGTTTCTGGGCATTCAGGATGGGATGATGGACAGCAGCTGTGCTGGTGACCCGGTGAAACTTTCACCCTGGGCTTCCCATGGGCCTGGGTTCCAGAATCATAAGCTCACAGGCTGGGGGGGTATCAGACCTGCTATATGATTCCACTGTGAGGTCATGGGTCCCTCAACCCTGCCCCCTCCTAATCCATCTCAGGGGTGAAGGGAGTGAACGTTGGCCTTTTGTTATGTTTTTTTTCTTTTGTTTACTTTTGAAGTTTCATATTCCATAGCCACATATCTACAGCCAAACTCTGGGCCCCCTGAGTTGGTCTTGGGTGAATCAGTTACCTGGATGTCACTCCTTACCTGCTGTCCAAAGGGCTTGACTGGTAGGGAATCCATGGTGAAGCCCGATGGACCCACAGGGCCACTGTAAGGAAATAATAACTATGAGGCTGGGTTATGTAAAAATGAATTCTTAACTTGCAATCACCTCATAAAGGCTGGCCAGATGAGGATGATCATAATCAACATCAGTTGGTTTTTGTTTACCCTGCGTCAGAGAACGGAAGGTTTTGATTTAACTTGAAGAAGAGTGATTCAGCCTTCTTCCCTCAGGGCTTAAAGAAGACGTGTGTGATCATGGACCAGGAACGCCCACGCTCTGATCTCAGCATAAACAGCAGAAATGATCTCCGCAAGGTTTTGCATCTCGAATTTCTCTACAGGGAGAACAAGGTGTGTGCTTTTTTAAGGAGTCGCTTGGAGCTGTGGAACTGAGCAGCACTCATGGGCCTGCAAAGATGACAGGGGTCTCAGGGGACTCCTGACCACCACCGCCCCCCGAAAAAAAAAATGGTGAGAAACAGCCAAAGCCAGTGCTGGCAGGGCCCACGGCTCTCAGCCTGGGCAGCCCTGTACCGCCCAGGGGTGTGCTGCGCTCCTGTGGTTGTTTTGCACTCATTTGTTCCGGAGCCTCTGGCTGTGCCCAGCTTCAAGTCGTCCCCTGTGCTCCTTCCTCCCAACACGAGGCATACGAGGCTATTTTTAGCAAGACTGTACTTAATAATATAGTATTCGGTTATACTAAAATTTTCCATTCCCTGCCGGTGTAAGACTTTCCTTCTTGGGTTCTGAGTAATGCCTTAGTCTGCAGTGTACTGTGACATATCATTCAGGCAAAAGTGGGAGTTGGGTTCAGCTTAACCTAGGTGCGTTGGAGTTGGGACAGCAAGTGGCTGGCTCTTCCTTGGGTGGGAGGGGGCTTCCCTGATTCCCCAGCCTCAGTCCTAGGCACCTGCTGTTACTGGCTTTCGTGGTGCCCCTTGGGTTTCTTTTGTGTGTGTTTGTCTCCTGGGTAATAGAATAGTCGAGTGCTTCTTTAATTAGTATCTGTTTCCCCAGGCAGCCAAGGTGGTGACAGCCTCTGTTTACTGTTGTGTCCCTGAACTTCATGTTATCATCTGATGACGCAATGAGGCATCGCTTTGTGTTTGTGGAATAAATGAATGAGTAGAGGGAAACGTGTCTATATGAGGGAATGAAGCCACAACCCCGTCTTAATTAGTAGAATCTTCTAATTCAAAGAATGGGCTCTCGAGAATATGTTGCTCCGGGGTTGGGTGGAGTCAGAAAGAAACTTGATTGATCATGTATCAGAATTTTAAAAACAAGGCAATACAAAGACATCTCATGCAGGAGTCCAATATACAAAACAAAGAAAGGAAGGCACCTTATTGGAAGTGGGGAGGGAGGTCCTGCCTTCTGGGCTTTCTGGGTCAGACCCCCAATGCCCTGTTAAACAGTTTTTAAATCAGTGATGTAAGGGGATCCCTCCTACCTCCAGAGGGAAGCTGTGAGCTACAGAAAAGTGGCCGTCCAGGTTTCACGGTCAGTTATGGGGTACGGATTCCAATTCCCAATCCTATCACAGCAAAGGTGGTCGAGCATTTATTTATTTATTTTTAATTTGTAATGCTTTTTTTTACACACAAAATCTTAGCCGATTGGATTGTTATAGGGATGAGATCAAGGCTACTCCTGAGACACCTAGTGGGACCTCCAAACCACTTGGAAACCATCTAAATATGTATCGTGGGCCAGGAAGGGACTTAGGCCAGGTTTTCCTCAACAGAGCAAAGAACGGACTTTCAGGAAAATCCATACACCCCAACCAGCTGGCCTCAACTCACAGGTGCACCCGGTTGCCAGAAATTCTCATGCTTGCCTCTGAGGAGCAAAGGGTCATAGCATCAGAGGCTCAGTAAAGACATCACATAGATGGCCTTCATCCTCTGCGTCTTGGGGTGACACTTACCCCCCTTCGTTTCCTGTATGTTCCTGTTTACTCTTCTGTGAGCCATTCTGGGCAAGAAAACTGCTCACCCAGGCAGCAGATATCCCACGATCCTCCGTCTGCTGGATTCTGAGGCAGGAGAGTGGACTGTGCAGTTTAAGATTTTGCACAGGGGTGAGGTTTGTTGCCCAGAAAACACAATTGTCTCTTCTGATACAGTGGGATTTTATGGAAAATCACTTTTACCTAATTTATCAGAAGTATCTGTGCGATTCAAGTGATTTCTATTTCCTTACCATATTTAGCCTCCCTAAGATAACTGTTGTCCTAAGCTACTTAATATGTTTTCATCAGACTTTGGTAAGTGCCCTGATTATCTGATTTAAATAGTAGTCATTAGCTGGGAGACAATGAATGAGAGTCTATATTTTACAGAAAAAAATGTGCTCATTAGTCTGCTTGTTGCATGCTAATTTTGACATTCACTCAGCCCAAAGCAATGTGATCCTGGAAAGCCCTATAAATTTAATGTTAAAATTCCAAATAACTTGCTTTTCCCCCCATTGAGTATGTGATAGATTAAAATGCCATGGAAAATTGAGGTTTTGAGAAATGGTGTCTAGATTCACATAAACATAGGGTGTGTCTGTTGTGAGCCAAGTGATGTGAAAACCCTGATGTATAATTCAGACCCTCCAGGGCCCTCAATCTTCCTGATTGAGAGAAAAAGCATGCAGGCCGAAATAAGTTAAACAGATTAAATCTTTCCCTCATCTCTCTTCATTGTAAGCTTTAGACTTTGACAAATAATCTTTTTTTTTTTTTTCATCTTTGGTCTCCTACTAAAACAATGAGTAAACAAATGCCATTATTTCATTCCTCTGATATTAACCGTCTGATAAATCTGTTGAGTTTGGTCCTGGTCCATCGGCTGTGGGTCTGAGCATTCTGCGGCGTGGATCACAGGAACAGACAGGAAGGAGCTGACTTGCTCTGAGGGTGCTCTCGGCTCCAGGTGCCTGTCACATGGCTCACCAATCTGATTGCATGACCACTGGGCCCAGGTCGGGCCACCGCTCAGCAGGGCCTGGGTGGTTCCAGGTTCATGGGGTGGTGACTGAGGCATGGCAGCTGCTGAGGCCATCCGGTGGCTTGTGGCCATGTCTGTCCAAATCACTAGAGGGAATTTTAGGAGAAATCAGGGCTCTGATTCTTGCTATTTTGGCTTAGAGGGCCTCAGTGTGTCATGAGAATCTATATTTCAAAGAGAATATTTTAGTGCAGGCAGGGCTGCACTATCATTTATTTACAAAAACTGCTACTAAAAGTCTCATTTGTTTATTTATTTATTTTAGGGTTGGAGTGTAAACTGAGTCAATCTGACTGCCTCTCTCTGATTTTCATATTAACCTTCTGTTCCAGTGGTCTCTAATCGCTGGTGTTTGGTGCTAAAGGGTTAGGGTACATACTAAGAACCCCAAGTGCTTATGAATCTATTAGTTAGTGTCCCTATGGATTAAGACTTTGTTTAAATTGAAGAATATATATTTTTTCTTCTTTTAAAATTTTTATTTGTTCTTTTTAGTTATACATGATAGTAAAATGTATTTTGACATATCAAACATATATGGAGTATAACTTCCCATTCTTGTGGTTGTACATGATGTGGAGTTACCCTGGTTATGTATTCATATATGAACATAGGAAAGTTATGTCCAATTCATGCTACTGTCTTTCTAATTCCCATCTCCCTCCCCTTCGCCTACTCCCCCCTGTCCAATCTGGTGAACTTCCACTCCTTCCTCTCCCCACCTATTGTGAGTCAGCATCCGCATATCAGAGAGAACATTTGGCCTTTTTTTGGGGCGGGGAGATTGGCTTATTTCACTTAGCATGATAGTCTCCAGTTCCATCCATTTACCAACAAATGCCATTATTTCATTCTTCTTTATGGCTGAGTAATATTCCATAGTGTATGTGTATCACATTTTCTTTATCCATTCATCTGTTGAAGGTCATCTAGGTTGATTCTATAGCTTAGATACTGTGAATTGAGCTTCTATATACATTGATGTGACCTTGACACTGTAGTACACTAATTTTAAACCTTTTGGGTACATGCCGAGGAGTGGGATAACTGGATCTAATGGTGGTTCCATTCCAAGTTTTCTGAGGAATCACTGCTTTCTAGAGTGGTTGCACCAATTTACAGCAATGTTTGAATGTACCATTTTCCCCACATCCTTGCCAACATTTATTGTTACTTATAAAAGAATATGTTTTTTATAAAGTTGTTCCTAGGAGAAAAATACTAAGAGATTTACTTGGGTAATCCTAGTATGATTGTTCATTGAATTGCCAGAGCCATGCATTGGATGTTAGTTTTTCTGGGATAGAAATGTTGTCTTCACCTTTGCATCCCTGCCCACCCTTGGTGGATGCCTGGCATATGTTATAGGCAGCCAGCTCATATTTTCTGAAAGTATATGTAAGCGAGTGAGAAGTTGATAAGCTTATTTCAAAGAACTGGAATAGCTACTTTCCCACCCTTCCTTCCCTGGAAGCTGTTCACATAATTAATGTTTCTTTTCCTCTCTCAACGATAGGCAAAAGAAAATCCTCTAAAAACAAACCTTGAACTCATGACCAGATATTTTCTGGATCACTCTGGAAAAACAGATAACAATTTAACTCAAGAAACCCCGATCCCTGCACTCTCAGTTCCAAAGAAAATTAACAAATTGCCGTTGAGATGCTCAGAGACCAAGCTGGTAAATATATATGACCTTTCAGATGAAGACACAGGATGGAGAACATCAATGACAGAAACAGGCAAAGCCAGGTATCTCTTCCCATTTACTCTGTGTATTAGTTTCCTATTGCTGCTATAACAAATCACTGTATACTTAGTGGGTGTATTGGTAAGGGTGGGCCCACAGCATATAGAGATACTCCCCAATTTGCAATGGAGTCACATTCTGATAAACCTGTTATAGTTTAAAAAAGTCCTATCAAAAATGCATTTAATTCACCAAACCTACAGGACATCATAACTTAGCAACACAGCACACTGTGGAGTGTTGGTTGCTTCCTCTTGTGATGGATTGTGAGGCTGACTGTGAATTGAGCCTTATTGCCACTGCCTACTATTGAGAGAGCATTGTACTGCACATTAGTAGCAAAGATCAAAATGCAAAAATTGAAGCATGGATTCTACTTAGTGTGTATCATTTTCACACCATTATGAAATTGAAAACTTATAAGTAGAAGTGTTATAGGCTGAAGACCATCTATCTATCCATCTATCTATTTATCTGTCTGTCTATCTATCTATTTCAAAATAGCTTTGTTTTAAGGAACTGGCTTATGCAATTGTGGCAAATTTATAATCTGCAGAACAGACTTGAAGGCTGGGAACTCAGATGAGGTTTCGTGTACAATCTTAGGAATTCCTTCTTTGGGAAACCTCAAATTCTGCTCTTCAAGTCTTCAATGGATAGAGCAAGGCCCGCCTACACCATTGAGAATGATCTGTTCTCCTCAAAGTCAAATGGTTAGGAATGTTAATTGCATTTACAAGCCACCTTCATAGCAACATCTACACATAGACGACTCAACACCTGGGCACCAGAGCCTAGCCAGATTGACATAAAATTCAACCACCCCAGTAGCATAAAGCCATGGGAATGTATTCCTTCACAGTTATAGGGGTCAGGAGTTCAAAGTCAGTCTCTCTGGGTGAAAGGCAGGGTGCCTGTGGGCCCAGCTCTCTTTGTAGGCTCTGAGGGAAATTCCATTGCTTGTCCTTTCTTAGCTTCTGGAGGTCACCTTCGTTCCTTGGCTCATGGGCCACCTGACAGCATGCCACTCAGACCTCTTGCACCATTACAGCCCCTGACTTTACCACTAACTTTGATTCTCCCATCTCCTTCCAAGAAGAACTCCAGCAATGACACTGGGACCACCAGCTAATCCAGGGGGATCTCCCTATCTCAAGATCCTTAACATAATCACTTTGCAATGTATCTCCTGACAGGGTAAAAGGGCACACAGACACACACATACATATGCATATGGGCCCTTTCACCAGGTCAGGTGACAGATCAATGGATTCCAGAGATTGGGATGGGGACACCTTTGGAGTACACATTATTTGATTTCTCACACTCCATTTCAGATATCTCTGTGATGGGACCCTGCTGTTTTCTTCTAGAGGCCAAGAGTATGGATCACTTTGGGATGGAGAATACTTAAGCTTCACATTGCCTAACTGAAATTCTGTGATTGATTAGGTTCAGGGGCTTTCTTTGTTACACTAACTTACAACCCTCATACCCTGCATGCAGTCAGTTTGATTTTTCTTAAGCACAGAATATAGTATTCTAAAAGGCAATTAAACCCTGTAGACTTAGAGAGGATCTAAAAGATTAGGTCTCTTGGAACTCTTTTGTTTATTTATTCTAATTAGTTATACATGACAGCAGAATGCACTTCGATTCATAGCACACAAACGGAGCACAATTTTTCACTTCTGGTTGTACCCAAAGTAGAGTCACACCGTTCATGCCATCATACATGTACCTAGGGCAATGATCTCTTGGAACTCTTGAAGAAAGTGAATTGGCATTCTTGATGGAACCTATTTTCTTGAGAACAGTTACACTAATGTACAACCCTCATACCTTGCACGCAGTCACCGATAGTGGATTTAACACTACTACAACTGTCATATATGGCATGGGGTCACCAGTCATGATTTCACTTCCAGGAAATGGGTCTTTTGTTCTGATTGGCAGAAAAGCATTTCCTTTCCTAAGAAAAGCTGGATCTCCAGGCACGGGTGTCAGGCTGCCGAAGGGCAGGGACCATCAAAAACAATTCATTCAATGGTTCAGATGTGAAAGGTTGTGATGGTGGAATGAAGAAGGTGGCCTCTCCCTCAAAGGCATTTATTCAGCTGGGAAATTAAATATTTCTGGTACAGTAAATAAATAAATAGCAGCAAGAAAATGGATGGAAAGTAGTTGAAGCTCCTCAGTCCACCCAGGTACCCAACTCAACACCTGGGTGTTCCCCTTCATTCCTTCTTCTTGCCATTTTCTTTGAGCTCTGTCAGCAGGTCTTTGTCCCTGATAATGTTAGATGCTTTGCCCCTTCCCTGCCCAATTGCAAGGGTCTCACTTCACATTTCCCATCCCCTTTCCCTGCATAACTCCTGTGGGCTCTGCCTTGGCCTCTAGGCCTCTGGCCATCTTCTCCTTGAACTGAGATTGTGAGAGCGTTTTCCATAAAACAAGTGTGGCCAGGCCACTCCCCACAGCTTCCAGGAGAAACCCCCATCTCCTTTGGATAGTTTGCAAAACCCTACCCATGACCAGCCCCATGGCTCATCTGAGCACATCCCACAAGCTGGGGCCTGGGGCTCTCTCTTGGGGGTCTCCTGTTTACTCAATCCCTTGACTCAGGGCTACCCTTCCCTGAAAGCCCTTTTGTATTTCACCAGGTGGGTTCCAGTCCCTTCCTCTGCTTGCTATGCCCCAGTCACAGCATGCACGACTGTGGCTGTCATGTGTGACCCAGGGCTTGGCGTAGAGTGGGTGTCAGTACCCACCCAAGCCAGTATGGTAAATAGGCGAGCCTACCAGGAGAGCACTGGCTTTGGAGCCCTCCTGGGTGAGGTTCCTCTTCACCTGGGTTTCTTGCTTTGTCTTAGTCTTTCTTGCTTGCTTTGTTCTTTCTCACTCCTTGTTTGCTCTCACTGTCACCTTCTTTTGTTTCTCTCTCTCTCTCTTGCCCTCTGATTCTCTTTCTCTCTCTCTAACACATGCACACACACACACACACACATACACACACACACAGACATACATTAGTACACACATACATGTTCCCTCTCTCTCTCAAGATAAGAAGCCACAGGCACTCCTGCCCAACCTTCCCTTAACAGTTGGGGAATGCCAAGTTCACCACGAGCTTTCTCCACCCCCTCAGAGGACTACAGTGGGGCTGTATCCCAGGGCTCTGGTTTCCCCGTATCACACAGGTCCAGAAGACCAAGGATGTTCTTTTGTTGTAAGGCCTGGAGGGTTCCTATTATGGATCATCATCTCTGGCTTTATTTGTTTGATTGCTGGTCTTATTTTGTAAGCTGAACTTGCCCTGATACCAAAAAGTATTTCCTATTCTTGACCTTTCATGAGAAGGCTCGGGATCAGCCCCTATTTATGCGCGGGCTTGCTCCGAGTGACTGCTGACTGTGGGCTTTCTTGTTGTTAATGGTTCCTCCTGGGGCATCTGTATTAGTGGAAATATTCCTTTTCTGCAGACATGACAATCTTGACGGGGATGTCCTTGGTCATCTTGTATCATCCAAAAGGCCCCACCACAAAAGCAAGCCCGTGCACTTGGTTGCAGGTGAAAGCCCCGCTTTGGTGTCTGCGTGGGAGAGGATGGACAAGCTTCACTCTTCAGAGTCTTCCGTGGACATGAAGAGGACAGGAGAGAAGACGAGGCCAAAGTCGGGTCTGATCGTCCGAGGCATGATGGCTGGGCCCGTGGCCAGTTCCGCACAGGTGGGGCTGCTGCTTTTTCTCCTGTTGTTAGAATGGGGAGCGAGAACTGGGCCGGAGGCGCTGCCTGGGCTTATCAGGGCAGCCCCAGGACAGCCCAAGAAGGGGGAATCTGTGCGCAGGGTAGGAAGATCATCTGCCTCTGTTCTCTCCCTGCCTCTATGGTCAATGACCCGTGGGTCCTTGGACAGGCTTCATCTCCTTCCCATCCCTCAGTTTACCCCTCTTGTAATGAGTAGGACACCTACTATTTCTTTACAGAATAAAAACACACAATCTCATTTCCATCTTTGGAATCCAGGAGAAGGGGACCTCCCCACCTCCAAAGACTATCTTCTTTAAAAAGATGATAGCTCAAAGGGAGTACACACCCCAGTCCTTACACTCTCAGTTGTTCTGATTTTATTTTTTCTCTTTCAAAAAAGTTGCATTATTATATTATAATCTCCTTGAAGGAAGGACTGTGTTATGTTCTCATTAGACAGGGAGATGACACTGAATGAGAGCACTCATGTAAGAGGAATTTGAAAAACATTAAGTAGCAGAAAAGCTAAGCAACATCAAACAGCGGACTCCAGGGGCAGCATCAGTCGTGTCCGGGAACCGGAGCAGACTGAAAGAGCACCCGTGGCCTGTGCCCTGCCCGATCATTCACCTGTGTGTGTGAATGTGGCTGGACATGCTGGCTCTATTCTTTTAACCCATTTAGGGTGAGGACAGAAAGAAGCAGGTCCTTTCCCTGCCCCTGCCTGGGTCCTGTGGGATCTTTCATCAAGGCTTTTATTTCTCTTGTCAGGGAGGTGTCCGAGGCCCCCTCGGGCTCTGGGATCATGCATCTTGGTGTCCAGATCAAGGGAAAGCGTCTGCTCCCCTCTGTGGGGTTCAGGCCACACCTTGATGTCATGTGCCATCCTAGGTGACTTGTTAAAGAGAAAGAGTCATAAACTGCTCTGTGTCCAGAATGAAGGGGCTAGGAAGGTGAAGAGTTTGGAGAAAACTCTAAGATGGAGATATTTAATCTCAAAGTCTCACTGGCAGAATGGAAGAGATTTCTTCAAATATAGGAATAGCCTCCTGCTTAGACCCAGGATGGCAAATATGTGGCTTTTGGACTAAGTCTCTGTGGTGCTGTGCCTGCAGCAGACATTATCAGTTGACCTCAGTTCTCTCTTTCTCTTTCTCTCTCTAATCGACCATGAACGAGACTTTAGGATCTCCTTGGTATCGGAGGTAGTGGCTCTCATCAGATGGATTGGAATGGCATCTTTGATGAGCCTTATTATCCATCTTGGGTTTAGTCCATAAGCCTCCTGAGATCAGGGAATGCCATCACAGGTGTGTGGAACCCCAGGTGTGTGATGCTGGCCTTCGTGGAATTGAGTGGTGTAGACTTGCTTGGTGACTCCAGAGAACACAGTTGGCCCTGTGGATCTGAGGATCTCTATCTCGCTGGAGCCGCTCATCAGTGGACCAGGTTGTTTTGGAAGAGACTGGACTAGTCGTGTTAAGGGCAAGCTACTTAGTTCATGAGATAGGGACACGGAGATGGGGACTTGTCTGGTTGCAAGTTTAGACCACAGCATTAGTTCTGGGACTTTCCAGCCTCAGGATCTTTCCAGCCTCTTATGCTCTTAGAATTACTGAGGAACACAAGAGCTTTTTTTTTTTTAATGTGGATTGTGTCTGTTGACACTTATTTTTATTAGAAAGGAAAACTGAGAAATTAAAAATGGTCACTTATGAAATCATTAAAACGACAGTAGTGAACATATTATATTTGACACAGTGTATTTTTTTAATGAAAAAGTGATATTTTCCAAAATGAAAAATTATTGAGATGAGTAACATTGTTTTACTTTTTTTTTTTTTTCCAAATCTCTTTAATGTCTGGCTTATAGAACATAATTCAAGCCTCATTTTTGCTTTTGTATCTGGTCTGTTGCAATGAAGTGTTTTAGTTGAAGAATATGAAGAAAATTTGGCTTCAGATAAACAGTTGGAAAAGGGAAAAGGTATTTTCATAGCTTTTTTTGAAAACTAAGATATTCTTCTTTGATACTACCCGAAAACTATACAGGCTTTAGTTTCTTTTCTTTTTTGGGAGGTACAGGAACAATTTACTACTGAGCTATATCCCTAGCCCAGTTTTAAAAACCTGGCCTTGAATTTGCCACCCTCCTGCCTAAGCCTCTAGAGTTGCTGGGATTGTAGGCATACACCACTGTGCCTGGAAAAACTGTAGATTCTTAATATGGAATCTTAAACCATATCAATAAACTTTTTATTCTTTATCAATTTCCATTGATCTGTCTTGCACTTTGAATCTTTTGTCCCTGCATGATTTAATAATGTGATGCATTAGTCATTTGGAAAACATTACTGAGTTATACAGATCTTCCAATCATGGACACTTTTAATTATATAAAAAAAAAATTGCATGAGAAGAGTTTTTAAGTACTCTGAAGCCCTCATGCTCACAGTGGCAGATACAAGTTTTCCAAAATCCCAGTTTTTACCTGGCAGCTAATATTTTATCACTGACAACAATGTACCATTTGTTTGCCTTGATGTGACAGGCTCAGTTTTTTTTTTCAAGAAATGCCTGCCAAATACCCAAATATGAATCACTAGTCTGTCAGTGATTCCATGAAAATCAGCGAGTTTGCTCACACTTTAGAAAGCTGCCCAAGCGCTGACCACCATCCTTCACACTTTAGCAGAATGTGTAGGCATAGTTCCTATTTGGTCATACAGAAGATGGAAAAGGTGTGTGCTGCTCTGTCTAGACTGAATAAAGTCAACAATATTTAGGTTTCACCATGGATATTCTTAAGTGAAATTTGCATTGTGTTTATTCACTTTTATTGCAAGCAGATGGTGATGGAGAATACCTTGAACACCAGTGAAATTTGATGTCGCTGCCTTGATTCATGCTCAGGGCCAACAGTTTCCCTTACTATTGCTTTGTGTGTAAAGTCAACACCCTAAAAAGGCCCAAACATTACTGTCTCAGTCAGTTTTCTATTGCTCTAGCAAAATACATGATGCCGGTTAATCTATAGAGAAAAGAGATCTGTCTAATCAGCTCACAGTTTTGGAGGCTGGGAGTCCAAGGTGGGGAGGGCCTATCTGCTTGGGCCTTCTGGCTGCATCACGACATGGCAAGTGGCATTGTGACAGGACCACATGTGAGAGAGGCTGCAATCATGGAAGAGGGATTCAGAGGAGGTGCCAGGCTCCCTTATGACAATTAATTCTTGCAGGAATTAATCCCAGTTCCATGAGACAAGGGTGTCCATCTCTTACAAGGGTGGTGTCCCTGTGACCTCATTACCTTTTGCTGGGCTCCGCCTGTTAAAGGTCCGACCACCTCAATACTGCCACACTGGGGACCAAGCTTGCAGCCCATGAACCCGTGGGGGGCACACTGAAACCACAGACAAATCACAGTAATTAGTATGCAGGGGTCGGTAGATCCCACTTTGAGGACCAATGGACCAGGTGGTCACCAAGATCCTGTCCCACCACCACATTCCAGCCAGTCAGTGTTGTGCAGTTGAGATGCTCTTGTAACTGTGAGGCGAGGGAGGTGGCTGGACTCACCTTACCACATGGTGTTTCTGCAAACTTCTCCTTTTAGTAATTGTTTTGGAAGGTGAGGTTTTCTCCTGGGGCTTCTGAATCCTGTGAAGGACATGGAAGGATAGGTTTCCAGATTTCCTGGAAGGAAGGTGTTTTGTGTTTTGGCCATATTTATTGGTTGCTCAAGAGAAAGAAGCCCAAGCATGCCAGGCATTTTATCATTTTTTTACTCCTACATCAGCTCTGCACTGAGGGATAAAATAAAAGGCCAGAAAGTTTGAGTCTCATTGGGAATGGTGACTAATGTCTCGCTCTGTGCAGGGAAGGATGCCCTGGGCAGCTTTTGGAGCAGGTTTATAGTGTCTGGTAATTTCCACTAGGTCAGAATGTGACAGAATTAGCTCTCCTTATTGCAGCCCAGGCTACCATTTGGCCCTGAATCATTTCTGGATGTGCCGAGAAGTCCTAAAATCAAAATCAAGGAAAAGTCTCGTAGGTTTGTATTTGTCTCTCCCCACCTAATGGATCATGACAGGAGTTCCCATTTCCTTAGTTAATCATCAATAGGGAAGCAAGGACATTTCAGTGGACTCCTTTGGAATTTCTTCATTTTAAAAATTAAGTGCACCTTGAATGCTTGTGAGGCACTGGCGACTGAGCTGAGAGCTCTGTGGACGCCAGAGAGGAGTGAAGAATGGCCTCTGCCACTCCTGATCTACTGTTAGGGGTTGTTGACACCAGATGGAAATGGGGAGGGGGGCAAAAGAGGGGGCACTCCTGTGGACTGCTATAGTACAAACCAGAGCCTCATTTAATCCGCACCATGAAATTTCACAGGAGGTAAGTACTGCTGGCCGAACATCCCTCACCCAAACTTGTGGGCCTGCTGGGTCTTGAGATCTCGAGTGCTTCTTTGATTTCAGTAAGGAAGCTCAGTGCCTGGATCACAGCCATGTAACGCCCGTGGTAGCGGGATTTGCATTAGTGTCCCATAAGCAAGTACACAAGGCTTTCCGTGGCTAAGCATTCAAGTCACACTTAAAAAGACTAGAAGAAACCTCACTACCGTTGAAAAGCATCTGCCACGGGAATCCAACAGGAACTTTCATTTTCTGAGGCTTTAGGATTTAGAAATGGCAGGTGATGTACCCTGGACTGGTTGTATTACATGTGAGGACGTGAGGGACAGAGAAGTCCAATAACTGTCACAGGTGATCCAGCTGGTAGGTGGGGATGCAGGAATTAGAAACTAGAGTGGCAGCTTTCCCTGTCCGCCCACCCGCTGTCCATCAGGGGTATGAAGGAGGCCCGGGTGCTCTGGGTTTGTGCAGGTGGGGTGTGTTAGCCTGAGGATCAGGGCAGGAGTGGGGGCCAAAAGATAGGCAGGATTTTAGGGAAAAGAGTTGGTGACGGGGACAGACATTCCTGGGAGAGGGACCATTATGGGCCAGTGGATGAAGTATTTTTCCAACTCCCTTGGAAGGGGACCCTCAGTGCCTCTATCCTTCCCATCCCAGGATCCTTTACGAAAGCGCTCTCTGAGGAGGTCCCCAGCCCCCAGCAGCAAGACCCACGCCCAGGAGGAGGAGAGTGAGAAGGTGCCCGAGCTCTCCACCCATACCCCAGCCTGTGCAGCCTCACAGAACAACTCAGCCTCCAGCAGAGGCTCAGTCTCCAGGAGCCCCCGGGGCCCGCCCAGTGAGCCATCTATGGAAAACTGCAAGGCCACTCCCAGCAGCCCTCCCCAGACTCCCCGCGCTGGACTGTCCCACTGGGACAAGACCAGACCAAGAGGTCTTTCAGAGGACAGCCCAGCAGAGAACGGTCCCATCGAGGAGGAGAAATCGCCCATGAAGTTGTACCTGCCTGGTGGGTTTTCCAGGGTGACCCAGGAGAGGCTGGAAAGAGCATTCAAGCGGCAGAGCAGCCAGCCCCCGCTTCTCAGGTGAGCATGCCTTGCAAAAAGGTGGCGCCTTTTCAAAAAGAAGTGCCACATCTCACGTGTCATCCAGCTCCTGATGGCTTCCAGGAGCCCTTCTTTTTTTTAATTTCTATTTTTTGGGTATCAGGGGTTGAACTCAGGGGTACTCGATCACTGAGCCACATCCCCAACCCTATAGTGTATTTTATTTAGATACAGGGTCTCACTGAGTTGCTTTGCGCTCAATTTTGCTGAGGCTGTCTTTGATCCCCCTGCCTCAGCCTCCTGAGCTGCTGGGATTACAGGCATGGGCCACCGTTCCCAGTTCCAGGGGTCCTTCCTATCCTAGCCAGTCTATGGAGTAGGCAGGGCAGGGTTGATTACAGTCAACCAGGAAAGGAATGGAGCCCAGAGGTTGCACATCTGGGAAGCCTCAGGGCAGGGTGGTCTCCCTGGTCCTTCTCACCTTTTCCCAGAGGTGAAGAGCCTTCAGCAGATGGTCCCCAAATGAGTAGTGACACAGACTGCTGCCTAAGATGAGAGAGATGGCCTGTGTTTCTAGATACAGCCACAAATTATATCCAATCAAGCTCCTTTCAGGCATTATTTCTATTGCTTTTACCCTATTCTTTTTGTTTTTTTTCACAACAGGTTTGGATAATTCCTACACTGATTTTTAATGTTAAACCAAACTTACACTCATGGAATAAACCCCACTTGGATATGATGATCTCTTCCTTTATCATTGGGTTTGATTTATTAATAAGCTGTGTAGAGTTTTTGTGCACAAGTTCAGGAATAAAACTGGCTGACAGGTTTCTCCTCTTGCAACAGCCTCCTGGGATTCTGGCACCTAGGTTATGTGATCAGTGGTCGCTGCTTTTCTGTTCTCTTGGGGCTGGGGCCGTTGCTCAGTGGTAGAGTGCTCGCCTGATATGGATCTTTAATAACTCATTCTCAACTTTCTTCTTTTGTAATATATTTTAAGACTGCATTCCTCTATATAATGCTTTGTCCGTAGCCCACAAATTAATATGTTATATGTTCATATAATTTAGCTAAAATATGTCCTCATTCCCCTTGTGATTTCTTCTTTGACTCAGAGATTATTTATACATGTATTGAATAATTCTAATCATTAGGGGATATTTTTCTGGTTATCTTTTTTTTGTTTGTTTGTTTCTAGCTTGTTTCTACTCTGGAGATATAAATGTATTTTTTAACCATTTCAGTTTTTGGATATATCTGTTGAGATTTCCTTGTAGAATAGTCTATATTTAAATCTTATTTCATAAGCAGCATATACTTAAATTTTTAATCTGGTGTGATTTTTAAAAATTTTAATTGGAATAGTTATTATATTTACATTTTTCTTTTGCTTAAAAACTCTCTTTAGTGTTACATTTTTTTGACCTAGTTTTTGTTTGGAAGTGTTTTTGTTTTACCTTTACTTTTGAAGGTAGTTTTAATGGGTATAGAATTCTAGATGGATGTTTTGGTTGTTGTTGTTAACACTTTATGTCACTCCATTGTTTTAGACCTTCACCATCAAGGTTGGTAAATCAGTTCAGTTTTATTGCTCTCCTAGAGGTAATGTGACCTCTGACTATTGCCCTATCTCCAGTTTTTTCTAAAACTTTTTCTTTTACTTTGATTTTCAGTGGTTTGACAGTGATGTGGTTTTCTTTGATGTTTCTACTTGGGATAGATAGAGCTCCCTGAAGTTGTGAGTTGATATTTTACATCAGTTTTTTGAAAAAGTATTGTCTATTATCATTTTATTTTTTAAATTTTTTTGTTTCTTTGTTTTTTTTAAATCTTTTTAAATTTTTCATTTATTTTTTATTATCATTGTAAATACTGTTTTTATTTCATCCTCTCTCTTTCCTCCTGGGACTTTAGTCAAAACATATAATAGATCTTTTTACTGTGTTTATGCTCTATAACTTTTAAATATTCTTTTCTTTTTTTTCATTTTTTTTTCTTCCTTTCTGTACTTCTGTCTGGGTATTTCTCTTACTCTACTTTACAGTTCATGTTTCTTCTCTTCTATGATGTCTAATATGCTGTTAAACTTATCAAATACATTTTCAGTTATTTTATTTTTCTATTCTTGAATTTTTATTTTTTAAAAAAGATTTCAGTCCTTTGTAAAATTCTCTTCATCTCCTTTATTTTATGGAGCATATTTTTTATCTTAAAACCTCAGTTACCTAGTAACTCTGATATCTGGATCAGCTCTAAGTCTGCTGTAATGGTTGACTTTTCTTTTGCACTACGATAATTTTGTCCTATTCTTTTGAGTTTCTCATCATTTTGATTGAATTCCAAATGTTGCTTATGTGTAATTAATTTAATATATTAAATCCCCTTCCTCAAAGTGGATTTAATTTCCTTTTGGTAGGTAGTAATCTCTTGCTCATCTTAAAACATCTTCTCTCATTTTGTCGTTTGTCTGTAACTTTGTCCGTCATGTCATTTACTGAACAGAAATCTTTAACTTTGACATAACCAATCTCTCATTTGGCACTTGATTTATATTTTTAAAGTTTACTTTATGAAGTTCTTTCTAGAAGTTAGATTTCAGTGATATTCTCCTGTTTCCTTTTTCTATTAACCTTGCAGTTCCAGCCTTCACGTTTATATATTTAATCCTTTATCTGCTGGGATGAAAAGATTCTTCTATTTTTTTTTCTCAAGTGAGACAGTTTCTCAGCACCTTTCCCATGGATCGTGAGGCTCCTTCTGACTTCATTGAGCTCTGTGTCTGAGCCTCCTAGTTTGTTTCATGGTCTTCTTGTTTTCTTCCTCTGCCCTCCTTTCTGAGCCACATGCCCCCACTTTTGATTGCCTGGCCTTGTGGTTATAGCTAGGTATCTTGGTGGGGCCAGTCCTGCTCCTCCTGTTCTTCGAGGGTTGGCGTAGCTACATCAGGTTCTGATTCTTTCCACAGGCCTTTTTCTGTTTCAGTTGGCCCAGCGCAACAAGCTTGTTCTGACTAGAGGGAGAATCTGCTGGATCCCTTGCTGGGAAGGCCCTGCTCCCAACCATCTCACCACCATCCCTTTCTTGTCTGTACTCAGAGTGGTTTTCTTTGAATGTCTTGGCCTCCATCCTGTTTGACGGTTTTCATGTCACCTGTCATTACTGGAGATTCTTCTTCTATTTGTGACCTCCATGAATGGCTACAGGAGTCAGGAAAGCAGGGAACTTTTTATTCCCTGCACTTAGACCCGTGCCACAGTGATGCTCAGTCTGACCTTGACCAATACCACCACTGTGACCCCTGACCATAGACAGAGCAGCAAGACCAGGAAACTTCAATAGTGGCCTATTTTGGACAAAACACTGTCTTTTAGGTAAATTTATTCGTTTAATTCTTATAAATTAGTTCCATGTAGGAAATGCCATTATAACCTCCATTCTACAGAAGAGGAAATTCATTCAGAGAAGTGACTTTATTTGCCCCAGTTTATTTACACATCTAGGAAGAGACAGGGAAGGCATTTTAAACTAGGAAACTGGCTCCGGAGTCTGGGGAATACATGAATTAATGGTGCCACCTCTCTCCATGTGTAAAAATCCTCTGCACAGCCTTCAAATGGTGATCGGCTTCTGCTTGAACGCCCTAAAGACGAGGAACTCACTGCTTCTATGGCACCTTTGCGTGATTCAAACTATTAAAAAGTCTTCTTCAAGTTGGGTGCAGTGGCTCATGCCTGTAATATCAGTGACTCCGGAGGCTGAGGCAGGAGGATCACGAGTTCAAGCCAACCAAAACAACTTAGTGAGGCCCTAAGGAACTTAGTGAGACTGTTTCAAAATAAAATATAAAAAGGGCTGGGGATGAGGATGAGTAGTTAAGCACCCCCTGGTTTCAATCCCTGGTACCAAAAAAAAGGGCTACTTTACACTGAGTTAAAATCTTCTTGCCTCTGATCTCACTCAAAGAAGCTTGTTTTGCCTTTCAATGCCAGAACATGTTTACTCGGGAAAAGGGAAAAAACATCTTAAACCAAACAGGTGGGGGTGCATTCTCAGTCTGCAGCCATTGCATCAGGTGAGGAGCTCGACTGACCATTGCATCAGGAGGCCTGGGGCTTTAGTCTTTACCTTGTCTGCACTTGTCCCCACACTCTAGTTGACACTGGTTTGATCATTTTCTTTCTGAGTGTCAGTGTCTCTGGCTGTAAAATCTGGTCAGTGGTAGATGATTTCCAAGCACACTTTCAGCTCACACATCTTGCTGGCCTGAGATTCTTACTTCCAGAGTTATTCTGTACCCTCTGTATGAATCAACACATATATTTCCTGAGTACCTTCTGTTTACAGGGCACTTAGGAGGTATGGCACAGGGGCTCTGGAGTCTGACAGCCTGGGCTGGCAAACCAGCCTGCTGTGACTTTGGACCAACTGTTTTTAAACCTTGAGAGATGGTATGAACTTTGCCTTCGAGGAAGAGGGTAGAGGTGAAAGTGCTTTCTGAGCAACTCTGCCAATCTCAGGTGAAGTATGACCAGGGATGTTTAACATGTTCAGTAGTGTTGACCTTAGTGCTGATCAATCAGCACTCATCTCTGTGACTTCTTTTCTTTTTAAAAACGTATTCTCTATTTGGTAGGCATCATGCTGAGCATGCATATATTTTATTTTCTCATTTGCTCTTTCTAATAATCCATTAAGATTATTATTGCTGTTGTTTTTATGGGGGGGTTTGCATTAAATAGTTTATTTTCCTCCTCCCAGGTTCTAAGCAAATTAATGAAACAAAGGATCTAAGGAGATTGGGGCTAGATGTGGAATCTTTGCAATTGTTGAAGGCTAAGAGAGAGGAAGAGTAAGTTGTGACTGGCCCAGGGCAAGGCAGCCTTCTGTAGCTCATCACAGGCTTAGGGCCAGTCCCCTCCCATGGCTGCATGGTGGGAGGGCCAGCCTGGAAGAGGAGCTCACTCCTGAGAGGACAAAGGGCCAAACCTAGCATGCTCCTTTATTTTAACTCAGTTCATCCATCAGATAAGTCATAC